GGTGGGGTGGGGAGAAGGGGGGCAGAAGCAAACCTAAAGTCTAAAAGTTCTAGACCTATACATCATAGGTCTTCCTACTTTCCATACTGCTGCAAAGTTCTAACAAGTCTTTGTTTCAGAAGTTATTTAAACCTGTGTGTAAAGTTCATTAAATATGCAGAAACTCTTCTTGCAGCCTGAAGGAATTCCTGAGTTTCTCTGCAACGCCTTTCATCTTCATTTTTATTGTTTTGAAGCAGAAAATTAACTTGGGAATAGCACAGAGGAAGTGATCTTTCCTTACTAAGACTCAAGATGCTTGTGGATAGGAATACAAAAAAATAAAGAAGTATTAACCCATGGAGAAAAGCAGAAGCACCTATAGCAGAGGAGTATCAGTGCTTTAAAGACTGCACGCAATCCAGATCCCATGTAATTGTAAAAATAGACGCTTTTACAATTCAAGTTGGAAAAGGTGCCTAAATTCTTCTTAAAGGAATGGCAAAGTAATCCTTTATAATTGTCATTGATGCTCTAGAAATACTGGTGCGCTAGCCTGTCTTCTGGGTCATTGATTAGTATTTCCACAGAATACTGTGAAAAAAAGCATTGTGGTCATTGGCAAAGATGGGTTGTTTTGATAAATGCAGTTTCAAATTAAATGCTGTAGATCTATCGGTTTGCAGTCTATGCCCATCACCAGTCATTCGAGGCTGCTGACTAATTCCCAGATTTTCCATTTTGAGATGGCATGCATTAAACAAAGGGCAAATCGTTCATTCTGCCCTGCCTGTACGTAACTGACACTGCAGGTAAAAGGAAACCTTGTCGGTAGGAAAGTGTGATCAGGAAACGCCACCTGCTGTCTCCTGGACCACTGCTCCAAAAAGCTGCTGGAGTGCAAGGACATGCACAAAACCCATGTTTCGTGTTATTGCAGGAAGAATAGTTGAATCTGATAAACAGCAATCCTTTGCCTCATAACAGTACCCAAAAGAGCCCTCAGATCCTCATCCGAGTAGCTTAGTACATAAAGCTTTAAGCAGCATTTCCTACAGGAGTCTCCTGCAGTGAAACCTAGAAGAAAACGCAGCAATTCACTTTGAAGCGTGAATGCCTTGTTGTTGCCAGATTGCTCTCTCTCTCACACACAGGTGTATTAATTGAATTTCACAGTGTTAGCTTCTCTTTAATTTCAAGGTTCACCCTTGACTAAAACTCTACATAAGCAAAGTGCGATTATTCCACTGGCTGCAGTAACATAGTGCACATCCTGTTCTCTGAGGCTGTCTCCAAAATACGTTCTATAGTAACTCAGCCCTTGATATTCCAGCCACTCTGACCCAGCAAACCCCTAAGTATTTACTTAACTTTAGACAGGTTTGGTTTCCTGATCTTGGGCACTGGGAAACCAGAAGCAAACCACACCTGAATACACTAAACTAAGCTTGTGATTAAAGACTCTTCTGCACAAAAGCCAGTGTCCTCAAGACCTTAATGCACTAGAAGGTAAATTTATAAATACACATTTAAAACCATTTCTCGATTAACAAACCTCTGTGCAACTTGAGTTAAACAAATTAGACTTTGTTTGAAATCAGCTGCATAAAGTTGCTCTTTCCTCATGTCTTTTTTCCTAAAGGAGGATGTTACCCGCCTTCTACAACACTTACAGAGTAACCTTCAGTATTTTAATGTTTAATTGTCTGAATTTTATGTGTATTTATTTGAATCTATTCTTTAATCCTTCTTGGGTCACTTTCTTTTTCCACTGTTTTTAGTTATTTAAAGGCATCCCCCATCTCTCTCTAGACAAACAAATGGTGTTTCTTTAAAACAAATTATCAATATAACTGACTCACGGAAAAGGACTCCACAACCCGTAAGGTTGTAAAGTAGGGATGTTTATTCCATGCGTGAGCACACGGGGGATAACTCCTCCGAAGACGTGTGCACCTAAAACAGCAATTTCCCTTGATTTTATACAGTAACATATTGCCTATTCATTAAGCGCCTATACATATTCATAACCTTTCCCCGAAAAGGCAGTCCTTTTCCAAGAAGTCCTTTGCATGTGCTCCACCTTCTTCTCCTCCCAGTCGCGCCTGCGCAGTGCCTCCTGGTGGTCATGGGCTGAGGTATGAGGGATGAAGTAAGGAGTCTTCATCATGTTGAACTCCCATAACTTTCTTTTGGCACATGCTTCTGGAACTTCTCCAAGTCACAGAGTCGGTTTTATCTGGTTTTTAGGCTGCTTCAGTTTCTATTTCTCTATACTTCGTTTCCCTTATTCAATACCCTATTGTTAGTTATATGCCTGCTAACCTCAGTTTCCAATTAATTTCTATAAGCTATTCAATTCCTTGGTTACGTGATTGCTAGGTTTTACCTAGACCCTAGCCCTAAACTACAAGCCCCCCATTTCATAATAGTTGAGTAAGTCAGCCTCAAGAAAACAAGTAGTCAAGAGAACAACGAATGGAAAACATCAGCTATATTGACAGTTCTAATAGCAGGGATGATACAGCCTCATACAGGAAACTAACCAATTCAGAGTAAAACAACCAACCAAACATGTGCATCTCAGTCCTAGGATGAACAAACTTCTTGCAATTAATACAAGGTTGAAAGTGTCAAATAAGGAAATTAAACAGAATCGAACTTCTGTATTTGATATGTAAACAGTCTAAATGGGTCAAACTCTCTTCCTTTGCCTGTGAAAATGTAGTACCACCTGAGTAAATGGAAGTACTTGATAGTACCACCTGAGTAGATTGAAGAGTAGTCCACTCCTTTAATTTTCATGACACTAGTCCTTGACATGCTGCAAGCAGTCTTTAAAAATCCTGAATCAAATTTATTTGTGGAGAAAAGATTGAGAACTACTTATGCATCTATATTGTATTGCAAGTGTTGAAAGAATTTCCAATTCAGAGAAAATTGCTAAAAACATGTACTCCTGAATTATGTGTACAATTACGTGCTACACATTACAGAACAAGTTATTAGTTGTGTTCTTACACCAATGTAGTACTTCAACCTATGCAACCACTCATAAAAAGTTTGCTCATATTTCACAAAGAAGTGATACAAATGTCAAATTGTTCTTCACTTACACTTGCATGAAATTCCATGCACTGTGTAAGTTTTGTGCACTTTAGTATTAACAAGACACATTAGTGACAGAAGTGAGTTACAGTGTTAAAGCCTCAGAAGGAAATCTCTGACCTGCTGTAGCCACATTTGCTTTGATGGCTAAAAATGTATTTCTGCATGGATGGAGTCTTGTTTCTCCACACAACTCACTTGCTTCAACAAAGTTTCTTACAGAATACTGTCCTGGTTTCACTGAGAGAGAATCGTAAGGTACTTAAGGATATGGTTTAGTGGGTAGACAGGAACGGTTGGACATGATGATCTCAGAGGTCTTTTCCAACCGAGTGATTCTGTGATTCTGTGATAAAATCAGTTTTTTATACAGGGAAGCTGCATTTTTTGAGAAGACTGCAACACTTGATTCAGTGGGAATCTTTTGTTTTCATTTGTGGCCAGCCATGGCGTGCAGGTTGCCATTATGATCAAGGTCCTCAGTGATTTCAAGTTAGCCGGGTGCAGGAGCTAGAGGAGCAAAAGCCAGAGCAGATGACCCAACAGAACTATTCCACACCATAACTGTCACACTTACTATGAACAGGGGCGTTTGCTGGGAATGGTTCTTTTTCCTTGACAGCCACCATTCCCAGCTGGTCTCATTTGTCATTCTGTTCCTAAGGCCTACTCTCCTCCTCGTTGTTATCATCATGCTTTTACTGGAGCTGTAGCATTCATGGTGTTTGCTATGTAGCATTTGCTGCTCTGAACACACAGCTTGCAACCCCTATACAGGCCGAGTATAACTTTGTGTGTTCTATACTAGTGTTAATATTTGTTTCTTCTTATTTAATTAAATCTCTTTTCATTTCAACCCACAGGTCTCTCTTTCTTTTTGATTCCCCTTCTCAGCCAGGGAGGGGCCACCAGGTGATAGAACTGATGAAACAAAGACACAGGCAGCTTCATTCACAGAATCCTTGGAGTTCTGACATTTGCTTGGGGTGGGGCGGAAAAACAACATTAAAACTAAAATTGAAAAGAGCAGAAGCCAAAGGAGAAATAAGGCAGCCCAACTTAGAGACTACCAAGCTGTGCTCCACCTAGTCTTCCGCTCACAGGACTGCAAAGTTCAATACCAACAGACTCATCACTCTATACGCACAAGCAAACCCAAAGTACCTGTGTCAGCCACGGTACAGCTGTTTCCTGTTCCTTCTGTTCTGGATAGTGAATTATAAAAGATCTTTGAGTATACAGGACTCATAATTACAGCTTTTTATTACCAGAACCAAGCACATTTGGCCTGGAGGCATTAAAGCTTGGTTGACATGAAGCTTCATAGTACTCTTTTTATGATCACTTGCTCTATGTGTGAGTGAATTATGCAGATGACAGATAATTCTAGTCTAAAAAACTGATTGTACTTCATCTAAGAAACTCATTAGGACTTCGTTGCAAATTTGTATCAAGAGCTGCTTATCTTGGGGGCTTAATATCAGAGAATTTGAAGGAAGCAATATGTGGAGCTACTATCTCTGAGACTCTGACTTTTGTTCAGGTATCTCTTTCAAATGAGAAAACAACCAGCAGGTTACCATGGTACCTCCCACAGCATTTCCATGATTCCATTTTATATGAGAAAACATACTAATACAGTACATCTAATGAAGACTGAATTTCCTTCTCATGAACCACAGAAATGAGGCCAGATACACATACTATTTTGTTTACTTCCATCAGGACATTTAGCATAGGAAAACCCTGATTTAAGTGCCTGGGGAAAACTTTCATACCATTCTATGAAGAGCACACAATACCCACCACTGCAGCTTGGTTTTAGCATCAAAATTGAAATACGGAAGCTACGCAATCCATATTTAAAATGCAGTTTCACACAAAGAACTTAAACCAATTCCTCACTGTGGAGGAGGGGAGATGACATTTTATTTGAACCTGGTTTCTAAGAGATGCTAACAGCAGCTCAGTCTGTCATCAAATATTGAACTACTCCAACAATAGACTTGACTGAAGGGTAAGTTTAGCAGTCTGACAGCCAAATTGCTTCTGATGTAAAACCTTTGCAGGGGTCTTCTTTGAATTAGGAATCTGGAAAAGCATGTCTTCCAGCGTGCACATGGTTATCCGTCCTGAAGCCTGTAGTTTTGTATAAATACATCCTAATTTGGCAGAGAGGTCAGGGTTCTCTTCCATCTTTTCCCTGACTGTAGCCAGCTAAGGAGGAAAAAAAGATAGTTTAGCAAGTGACGGTCTCATTCAATCACCATATTGAAGACAAGCAAACACTCAAAGAAAAAAAAGTACACAGTGTAAGATAAGTGGCTAATGCAATGACTTATAAGAGGAGGACTTTAAACAGAACATGTTATACATCACCAGACAGTGGTGGAAATGCACTGGATACCTATTAGAGAGAGTTTATTAGATTTAAAACTTCCTTAAAGTTGTACAGTCGTATTTTCAGTCCTAGTACAGACAAACACAATTATTTTCTATTTAAATCTAGGAAACATAATTTCTTCCTGGAATCTATTTTCCAGATCAGCACAATTCTAATCATTATTATATAACACACTAAATGTACAGTACAAATCAATAGAAGTCCGACTACTGAACAATGACAAGTTCTGTATGCAATACACAGAGTATGAGCTCAAGTACAAGTAAATACCTTAAACATTTTTACTGATCAATAACATTTTGTGGAAGCAAGGGGTTAGTACAAATGCTTATTATTCTTAGGAACTGTTACAAATCTGCCAAACGAAATCAAAATACAACATTGACACATGCAACATTTATTGCAATGAATTTACAAAATTAAATGCTGCTTAAAACATATCTTTTGAACATAGCAGTTTATATACATGGGCTATGGTTTGAAATGTATGCCCCTTTCTACCTAGTATTTGTTGTTTTACATATTAGTTATTCATTATGTTTAATAGGCAGCAGTGAAAGGGTATTTAATTATGAATACAGTCTTAAAATATCTTGTTCTATAGACATATTAAAAATTAATACACTAATAAGTTTCAGGAAAAGCAGAAGCAATGCTGCCAAGCTGATAAGAGTACGTATGTGCCCTGAAGGGCAAGAGTCAGGAGGAAGGAGCCAGGCTCTTCTCAGTGACAGCCAATGACAGGACAAGGGGCAATGGGTGCAAGCTGGAGCATAGGAGGTTCAACCTGAATATAAGCAAAAACTTTTTACTGTAAGGGTGACAGAGCACTGGACCAGGCTGCCCAGAGAGGTTGTGGAGTCTCCTTCTCTGGAGACATTCAAAACCTGCCTGGACGCGTTTCTGTGTGACCCAGTCTAGGTGATCCTGCTCTGGCAGGGGGGTTGGACTGGGTGATCTTTCAAGGTCCCTTCCAACTCCTAAGATTCTGTGATTCTGTGAAGCTTCAGATCTTGGAGATCAAGATCGTGAAAGCTATTTTTCACTGTAAAAGAGAGAAGGCAAGAGATTAAATTATTTAACGCCACTAGGGAAAGCTTCACCAAAGTTTGGCTGGATGGACATACATGTTTTGAAATGCAACTGACTTAATTTTAAACTGCAAATTCATTATGTAACTTGACAGCTGACAGTTCAAGCTTGTTTTAGAAAATGGTTCATTTCATTAATAATTATTTATTTGGCATCAATTTAAAAACGGAAAATCAAAAGGAACAATTTTGTGATATTTTGCTGTGTTACTTTCAAAAAGTAAAAACCGCTGTGCAAGCTCATAAAAAGTTATGAGATGTGTATGGTGAAGATGACTTAAAACTACGGCAGTGACAGAATTTGTTTGCTAACTTCCATGGCAGAGATTTTGGTGTTAAAGATGCACCATGCTCAGGAAGGCGTGGTGATAACAATCAAATAAAGGCATTGATCAAATCTAACTGGCATTAAACAACACAGAAGATGGCTGATAATCTGAACATATAGAAATCAAGCACTGAAAACCACTTAAAACAACTTGGATACATTAGGAAGCTCGATATTTGAGTACCACATGAGCTCAAAGACATTCATCTCAGTAAGCACACTGACACCTGCGATTCTCTCTGGAAACATGAAGAAAATGATCAAGTTTTGAAATGCATAAGGACAGGCAATGAAAAATGGATTGTCTACAACAACTATGAACAAAAAAGATCATGGAGCAAGTGTGATGAACCAGCTCAAAGCACTTCAAAAGCAGATATTCACCAAAAGAAGGTGATGCTGTCAGTCTGGTGGGATTTCAACAGTATTGTGTATTTTGCATTGCTTCCAAGGAACCAGATCATTAACTTGGATGTGTACTGTCATCAACCGGAGAAATGAAATTATGCCGTCAAACAGAAGCATCAAGAATTGGTGAATCACAAAGATTTTGGGTTTAGCCATGATAACGCTAGACCACATACAAGTTTGGTCACTCGTCAAAAATTGTTGATGGGATGTGTTACTACATCCACCGTATTTGCCAGACCTGGCACCATCAGACTACCCTTTGTTACACCTTGAATAGTAAAACTTTCACTGCTGATGAGCATATCAAATCATTCTTGGAACTGTTTTTTGCCAAAAAAATCGAGTAACTTTTTAAAGTGCGGCATCATGAAGTTGCCTGAAAGATGACAGAAGGTAATTTAACAAAATGGACAATATATTGTTTAATAAATCTTTTCTTTCCAACAAAAAATTTTCCTTTCATTTAGTCAGAAAAAAGCACAATTACATTTTGACCAACCCAATGCATTTCTATGAAACTTGAGCTCCTAAGAGCAAGATCCACAATAAAAAAGGGAAGTGGACAGTGAAGTGCTTTGTCCAACAGTACAGAAAGCCAGCCAGCTGCTTTGGCATCTGAATATACCCGCATTCAAACAACTTCAGTAGGGTAAAGTAAGGCACCTGAAGTTCTGTAGCTGAACCACTGTCATTGTGGCTCAGCCAAGCACCATGGACCTTCTCCTCTCACTACTGTGTACTTACCACCTGCTCAGAAAACTCGACCTTTTTCACAAAGGGAGGAGTATCTACTTCCACTGCTGCCTCTAATGTTTTTATTACTTCTTCTAGCAAACCAGATCTGAGCTGGACAAGAACCTTAAAAATAAAATAAAACCACACCACACAAATAGTACTTAACACCAGATTGCAATTTTTTTAAAAAGTGTTGAGGAAGAGCAAAGCAGGACAAAATTTATTCCCAGACACTGTGCAGATAAAAATCTATAGATCATGAAGAAAGCAGAAGGAATTATGAATTTCCACAGATGTCTGGGGTTTTTTTACAGCTGGGACCTTGAAAGGAAGGGTAAGCCTGGAGGCAGAGCTCCTCTGATAGAGCAGTGTTAGCTGTTCTTAAATACAGTGATTTCTTCCATAGCTTAAAGAGGTCACTTACAGGGCACATGCAGTAGACTTTCTGTCAGGTTGTAGAATATGCAATTGAAGAAAAAACCCTATATGTACATATGTCATTAAGGCTCATAGGGCCAAAGGAGACCTGAAGTGGGCAGAGCACAGCTAAGATGGGCATTTACTTGGAGCTGTTTTTTAAATCTCTTGTAGCAAGAAAGCAAAAAGTCACAATGTCATAATTAGAAATTGTTCACAAGTCTATACTCACAGGTTTAGGACTGGTCTACTTTTCATTCCCATATATATATATAGCAAATTATTTTTAAAAATGGGGGAAGGGTGTTAACAGTTCAGAATGTAACTCACCCAACTGACAGAAATTGTCTGTTGGCTCAAAACCAAGTTTGGCAACAGCACTGATACACACTTGTGTTACTAGGAAGCTGGCATTCTCTTACTTTGCACATGGGAGTTTTTGTCCAGTATAGCATACCTCTCTGCAAGATTCTACTGGAAAGCAAGTATACTTACTTTAAGATTATCGTATAGTTTGTTCTTTGCTTTCATTATCTGGGAACAATAAAATTTGGCTTGTGCTACATCATTCTAGGGAGGAATCATAAAAAATAAAAAAGTATGGTTAAACACGTGACACGCTTTCACAGTAAAAGTTCAAGAAAAATAAGTCTTTCACAACTTTTCAGCGAATCACAAACCAGCATCTAGAATCCCTTCACCACGACCCACAGACTCCAAACAACATTCAGTCTGTGAAAGGAATACCCCCACTGGAGTTCCCATATCACCTGGATCATTAACACATCAGACAGTACCCCCTGCCTCAGATCACAAGGAAAAGGGTATGTAACCAACACTGAGCATGAGAGCACCTAAAAGATAAAAAATCTACACACGTGCTCAGTTTGGCACATGTCAGAGTACTTAAAGAGATGTGCAGCATATGTTAATGTGGCATTTATCCTGCCCAGCACTTTTAACCATTTGGACATACACATCTACAGGACTCTATATATGTCATAAACTGATTTGTATAGACAGTAAATGTTACACTGATGTTTACTAGACCAATCACTGTTACCTGGGATCAAGAAACATCTTACAGCAAGATGTAGTGTCAAAGATCATGCAGCTTAAGGAATATTTAAGTGTAATGTGACACATTATACTGTTTGCAAAACAAGAATTTTAACTGATTTTTTACATAAAGCAACAGCATCAAGGACATTTCATGTTGTTTCAGAGACAGAGATTTTGTTTTTTAACCTCATTGCTAATGAGAAGCCCTGTCATGCCATCACGCATATGAATAAATTAATTTTGATGCTATTGTTTACAGAGACAGTGCAAGAAAGACCACAGAGGGCATAAGAAAATTTTAACAATTCTACTAAATTAAGTAGAATTAGAATTAAAATCTGTAAACAACATCAAATCACAAACTCTTACAGTTACTCTAACCTCTGCTTAGATATGAAACAGAGAAGGTTCAGAATTTCCTCAAACTCTATGCACAAATCAATGGCGGAGAAAATTCTAAACTAGACTTTAGAATTCCCTAATTGTTATTCTACTGCTTATTAATTCAACCTGTACTGCCTCAGATACTCTTCATATCAGTGCTTAGGCCCATGAGGTGTATGAAAACCTTCCCCTGAAGCAACATGTTGTGGAGAAAGACAGGCCATCTGCCAGGCTGTAGAGCAATACACACCATAGCCTTTGAGCTTGCCTACCACTATAAACATTTTAAAAAGCTGATTGTGCAAACACTTTAAATTATAATTTTAATTCTGTATCAAGGAAACTATTACCAAATAGCAGTATCTGCAGGACTGGGTCCATGGTTACACCTAACCTGCTGGCCCAACTCTCATTTTCTAAAAGAGAGTATTCTATATGGCATTGTTACTAGGACAAAATACCTGTGCATTAGACTCAAGACTCATTTACATTTCAGAATTTTCACATTTGCTTTGTGTGGGAGTTGTCTATAATTCTACTCTTTTGGGGGCCTAAAAGTTCTACTACTTGAAGTTACTACATAGATCAGTTGTGCTTCCTCTACCTTAGCTTTCTTTCACTGACTAGCCTACAATAGAACTAGAGATTCAGGCACAAATCAAAGCAAAAGGTACTGTACCTGCTTCAAAGCAGTTGCCATGGCAAAGCAGAATGCTCGCAGTGGTAATGTGTCACCTTTAAGCTGTGCTTCTTCAAGCAGTTTTGCAGAGATTTTGCAAGACTCCAGGTTGTCCTGCATAGAAATTTCAAACTTAAGTTGCACTTAGTTATTCTTGCCATCTGACACGACTGTAGGCAATTGCAATCACATCCAGAAGGCATTCAGAAGTCAACATACTGTATGATCACCAAAGCCATCCATATCTGAACCCAGCCAAGTAGATTGTGTGCAGCACTTCTTCAGAAACACAACATCAAAATATCATACTCAAAGGCACAGAGTTCAGGAGAGGGCAAAAGTAACTTCCTTTATCTTAATAACTACACCTTGTAGTTGTCTAACTGTTTTGGCTTCTACAGGAGAGAAAACAATCCTGGCAGTATGCTAAAACCAACAGCCACTTTGCTTTCCAATCATTCCCAAATCAGGAAGGAAAATGATTTTTCTCCTTACTTTCTTCTAAAAGCTACATTAGGTAGTAAGAAACCTGTGTATGTGCAAATCAGAACAATCAGCAATTTTTAGCCCCTCTTATGGATTAAATCTTGTAAGATGTTTCCAAAGTATGTATTCTGATAGCTTAGACATTAGCCTGTTCTTCAACAAGGAAAGGTTGCAATATTGCTGGGACTATACCTGTGTGTTGTCTCATAACCAATCAACTCTCAAAACTATGCTTCTCACACTGGAAATGATGAGTAGAGCTGACTGGAGCCCAAACAAAATAAAACTTGCCAAACTTAAAAACTGGAAGCAGGAAGGTTCTGTAACAAGTGGTACCACAAATACGGATAAGAGCCTTCATATTCCTTCCTAGTATTTGGTGTTGATTTCTGTTCCTACTGTTCAAAGTGTCATTCCTGCAAAATACTGGCCATGATTTAAGGGGTAGGGTTTACAGGATGCTTTTCCATGCCACTGCTGAATGGTCTGCATAGCTTGTGAGAATACCTTCTAAACCACATGTGCAACTTGAGGCTTAAGACGTTATATGAAAATTTAGAAACATTCTGACCAGCATAAGACAGATTACTATTACACAAACATTTTGTTGTCATCTGCACTGGGTTTTTGTGGTGGGGTTTTGGCAGCAGTGGAGAGGCTACAGAGGTGGGCCCTGCACGAAGCTGCTAGAAGCTTCCCCAGCGCCAGGTCGGACCTGCCAAGGCTGAGCCAATCAACGGAAGTGGGAGCGCCTCTGTGGTAATGTATTTAAGAGAGGCACAGTGGATGGAGGGGGCAGGTGGCATGGCTCCAGCTGCTGACAGGGTTTGGCTGGTTCAGCCCAAGAGCCAGGAGCTCTTCAGGTGCCAGAGCAGGGAACTTGCAGTGGATAGAGGAGTGGGATGGGAGAGAAAAAAACTACACAGACAGCAAGGCCAGTGAGAAAAGCATGGGGATGAGGTGTGCCAGAGGAGAGGTTCCCCTTCAGCATGTGGTGAGGTGGCAGGCTGTTCTCCTGCAACCCATGAAGGTTAACAGTGGAGTAGATATCCACCTACAGCCCATGGAGAACCCCATGCCAGAGCAGGTGGCTGCACGTGAAGAAGACCATGAGTCCCAGAGAAGTCCGTGCTGGAGCAGTCTGTGGGAAGGACTGCCTTCCACAGAAAGGACCCATGCTGAAGCAGTTTGTGAAGAACTGCAGCCTGTGAGAAGAAGTCACATTTGAGAAGTTTGTGGAGGACTGTCTCCTGTGGGAGGGACCCCATGCTGGAGCAGGGGAAGAGTGTGAGGAGTACTCCCCCTGGAGAGGAAGGAGTAACAATGTGTGACAGACTGACTGCAACCCCCATTCCCTGTCCTCCTGTGCTGTTGGAGGGGAGAAGGTAGAGAAATCAGAAGTAAAGTTGAGCCTGGGAAGAAGGGAGGGGTGGGCTGAAGGTGTTTTTAAGATCTGGTTTTGTCTCTCATTATCCTACTCTTGTTTTGATTGTTAACTAATTATTTCTTTTTTTCACCAGATCAAATCTTCTTTGCCTGTGACCATAACTGGGTGAGTGATCCCTCCCTGTCTATGTTTTGACCCATAAGCCTTTTGTAATATTTTCTCTTCCCCATCCCAACAAGAGGAAGAGTAAGCAAGTGGCCATGTGGCACTCATTTGCTGGCTGGGCCTAAACCACAACACCATCAAAAGGCCTACAGCCCTTTCCTGCACTAAAAGAAGGACGATCTGTCACCTTAAAGGATAGCAGTGTCTTATAATGATTCAGACATCACAGAAGTGTTTTAAAGTTGACCTCTAAAACACTTCTGTACAAGGATTAAACACTAATTCATTTTTTTATCCACTAGCAATAATCTGAGCTTTAAGCCCTGTACATTTTTCTGTACTGGTCTTTGGCATGGGTATTCAAAAGAAACCAAGAACTAACTTGGTATAAATCCAGCACTGCTCTTAATGACACCAGCACCACTATTTCCAGTATTCAAGTAGTGCATCTTGAAGATAATTCCCTTCAAGATTTTTTTCTAAAGTTTATTATGTAGTATCACTAGCAAAAACACTTCTGAGCTTCATGGTTTCTCCTCCTACCATTAACACCTGAATCAACAGATTAAGCTTTTGAAAGAGCTCCACCCAATCCATTTTAGTTCATAAAGGGATACTACAGCTTATTCCCTTATTTATAGTATTTAATCTTAATGAAGAAAACCCCCCAAATTTATAGCAGCTGTTAAAACAACTGGGTGACAGTTCAGAATAATTTCCCTTCTAATTTTATCAATTCGCTAAACGAGTAATAGTTGGCCAGATTCTGTATTGAAAACACAAACCAGAAATCTCAGCAACCTTTTCCTGGATTTCCTGCCATGGATCCAAGTCCTCTGACAGCAGACCATGGAAAGAACTATGTAAAGATTTTAGGGAAGAACCTACGGCAGAGGGAGTCAAGGACACCCCAGATAAACACAGTAGGTTTTTGTGCATGTCTTTACCTAAACAGGCAAAGTATAGACCAAGGAGAAAACCTGAAGTGACAAGTGTTGCCTCAGTAGATGCTAGTAGCAAACACCAGCTTATTAACTTGCATTGTAGCATAGTGTCAGAGTCTTTGTACATTCATAACTTTCTGAAAAAAGCACCTTCTATGTAGAACAGGTAAAATCCCTAAACTGAGTGTAACCATCAATCTCTAGCTATTTTTAACAGCAGATAGTCTACTGCCCCACTCTCCAAACACCAAAGCCACATAGCTATTTTGATTTCCCCTGACTTAAAGGCAGCCCTAACTCCTTGGAACTGAGAATTTCAGAACCATCACATGAAAATTACTGTTGAGCTACCATTCTAGGTCAACTACTTTTTATCACATATGCACTTGGTTTCATTGTATGGTTAATGGAGAAACCTGAGGAAGTTTAGTCTAGTGGTGTAATTTTTCTTCAACTAGTGCCTTCCTTCCTAAAAACACAGGGAAACTGAGGAAGATTTTCCTTCTGAGTTTGGGAAGGGTCTATATGAATATTTCAAATTGCAAAACGGATTCAAATCTGGAGAGGAAGATCGAAATAAAATTGGCGGATCTCACTTTGCTACAGAAGGGAAATAGTGCTAGGGAAACACTTGTAGAACCTACTAGTTTCTTACTGTGTTCATACTCTTTTTTGGGCTAAAAATACAGTTAAGCTCAAGGGGCAGCCTGTCATTTACTGAAGGCATTCATTTAGGTTTCTTTTCTCCACTCAGCTGCTGATTTTGATCAGGCGTGTAGGAAAAGATAACCTTTGAGAACTCTAATCCTTGTCAAATTCAGGTGCAATCACAGAAATGGTTCAAGGTTACCTGGAAAGGAGAAATTGATGGAAGATGTCCGACAGAACACACCATATATGCCTTGTGTCTTTAAGAAGTCAGACTACAAAACCAATATTGAGGCTCAAGCACAGGACAGAGTCTGAAGAGATGCACAGATTTCAGATAAAGAATACTATCAGCTAATCAAAGGCTGTATCAGATTTGTTCCTTAGTGCATATGTCCACATAATTTTTCAGAGATTTGCTTTGTGACATTTGTTTGCAGGGGAAGCTATATAGGTGCACAAGGAAGCAATTTAGGACTTTAGTACGTCTAAAATACTTGCACTAGGTAAGAAATTATGACTGGGAACACATGGAAAATTTAAAATCCAAATAAAGAGGAAGACATAGAGAAGGCATTTCGAATATTTTTTCATCATGTAAATTGAAAATACTTACCAGTTTGTAGCATATTGCAAATGCAAGTAAATAGGTTTCTCTGTTGAAAGGTATACCTTGTTTTTTCATTTCTACCAGAACTTCCAAAGCACCTATCAAAAAAACATTTTTATTCACCTCACAAGTTTATGGCTGTACATTTACGTACATGTAACTGAAAAAAGAAATAAATCAATGTGGCATGAGCTCAATAAGTCTATTTCAAAATGGGAATACAAACTGAAATATGTTTGGTTTTTTTTTAAATATTATATTTCAAAAAGTTTAACTTAAAGTCAGTTGAGATATAAATATTTCTTCCCAGGAAGGAGGTTTTTGATCTACAGCAGCATCTAGCCTTACTGTTCTATTATTTTCATACAAATCTAAAACTAAATTCTAGATACTTGACAAAACCACTCTCATTCTTCGTAAGTGCCCAAAAAGCAAGCATTTTAAACACATGATTTAACCTTCCACCATTTTAAGTAAACTATTTAACTCCTCAAAAATGCACATGCTTCCTTACACCGCAACACTACATTCAAGCTCTGATCTAGTTATTTTTACAGTGGCTTAGTCTCAACTTTTAGGACAACCACTGGACTTAGATTTCCTAAACATCAGGAGACCATGTGCTGTGTCTTCCATAAATTTCAAATTTCAGAAAGAATTTGGTTGAAAAGCTTACTCTATACTCAATTTAAGACTTTTTCACGGAAGGTCTTTTCAGCTAGGTCAGATGATTTCCCCTTATCCTCACAAAGGGCCAAACTGAACTTAAGCATTTGACATAAATATTGCAGTAGCCACTCTATGTGGGCACACTTGTAAGACAAATCAAGAGAAGACTGCGGTCTGGTTTTGTTATCAAAAGAAAAAGGGTACTCTTCCCTGCTCTGACACAAATGCAAAACTACCAAAAAAACCTGTTGAAGAACTTACTGCTCAAAAAACCACGTAAAACAAGCTTTGAACAGAGAAAACAAAAAGCTTGAAGAAATTACAAACCAAAGAGAAGTTAAGCCTTCAGAGAAGAAGGTTTAAGAAACAAGTTCCCCTGGATAATCACAATTCTGTGCAACTGAGAATGGTTAAGAATATCACTGGAAGCATGAAACAAATACAGCCTTCCTTTTTCATTACACACTACAGTGCAGCTCATTCACATCTGCACTGATTTACATGATGTTTGGCCTTCTAAAACCATAAAACAATCAGCAATATTCACTAAAAATGCATGTATTTATTTATGCACACACAATTACAGTGAGAAGCATTCTTCTCAAAAGGCATTTGCCTTAGCAAACACAGTACTTACTTTCAAAATGACCCTTTTTAAACAACATAGTCATCAAAATATGGAATGATGTACTTTCTGAGAAAAAACCATGCAAGTTCTGGAGAAGAAACACACAAACAGAGCAACTGTAAAGGAAGTCAGGACAGTGAGCATTCTTACTGTACACAGCATTTAGCAGGTCTTCTTACTGGAATAAGCCCATCTTCACAAGTTCAACATTTAATTCTCAGGGTTCCCTGACTGTCCCTCTGTCAAGTAATCTCTAAACTATGACTGATTCAGAACAGTCAAAAGCTCACTAAAATTAAACAAAACATTCCCAGAGATTCCCACTATAATTTTTTTAATGACCGATTGTGACCTCTGAGTTAATGCAAGCAGAAGTCACTAATAGCAACTCTAAAAGCTCAGTAGAAATATAGCTTGCAGCTGATTAACAGTATCTTCAGTGTAAAGTTCCACCACCATGAAACGGAAAGATTTTTTTGCTGATCACAATATCAAATGATGAACAGATCAGCACAAGGCCAAGAGTGATGACAAGCAGAGTGAAAACTCAGCAATGTTCATTTCCAGGAACGATCTAATGCAACACAGGATGCAGGAAAACGTGCATCAGTTGTGTTCATTTGAGGAATTATTTTGTAATCAATACTTCTTGTTCAAATAATGCAATTACACAGAATTAGAATAAGTTATCAAACCAGCATTTAGTTTTCATTTAATTATTGTTTTGCTATTTTAAAAATAAAAACCACATAATTTGCATCCTCACATTAATGTCATAGACATCCTTGCTACTGCAGCACATATTTTTAAAGTCTATGAGCTCATGCAAGTCTCATGCATAGCATAGCAATTACTCATATTTGACTAATAATAAAAACAACAACAATATTTTCAAAATATATAGGGGAATTACCTGGTCTTTGATAAGTTCCACTGCAGGTCTTTCAAGATCCAGCTCGTAACATAACCTCATAAAGAGGGGGCCAAATTTAAAATTATGTAAGGCTGTGATTCCATTCTGTTCATGGTACCTATTGGAAAGACCAAAAAAAGTTAATCACACAAGGCATGGGATTTGTCACGGGAAAACAGCTTTAAAATACAGCAAGATTTGTACATGCAATGACAGAGGCACACTTCTCTGTCTGCATCAGCGAATAACATTTAGATAACAGAAGTAATCTTATGTAAAAAAATATTGTTTTGATCAAACTAATAAATTAAAGTAGTAGCATATAATCTCTTCTATGTCCAGTAAACTAACCTGCATTGCATTTGTAACAGAACGGGTCTCTGCCATGAAAATTCCCAGCTACTTTACCTTCTATTCACAGAGCAATAGCACAGGAAGTTGCAGCAGTCTGTTTTAGGAGTACCTCTTAAAATACCTCAACTTTTTCTCTCTTAAACTGAAAATAAATAAAAAGATAAAAATACGGTGTTTCTCTCTTTTTCTTTATAGCTCCTACACTCCAATGGTTTGGAAGGGTTTCATTCACAAAACCTACTGATCTGTCACTGCTGGGTCCAGATCAGTTTATAACCAGGTGTGTCTTGGCTGGAAAACACCACTAAGAACACCACTACCTGTCAGCTGAGACATGACATTTCTGTGCGGCTCGCCATTCATTCTGCATATAGTAGAACACCACTTTGCTCAGGTAGCTTGACCCTTCTTTAATGATAGAGTCTCTGAAGGGTTGGAAGATCCAAAGCAAATGAAAATACAGCCTTAGTTTAAGTGATTAACTATGTATACAGTCACTGAATTAGGGCAAACCCTCAACTGCAGGTATAACCTGAGATGATCTAATATAAGCAAAAAAATAGACAGAAAAGAGTGTTACCTTGATTGTTAAAAATACCTGTAAATAACTTTTCTGGCTAGTTCCACATCAGATGAAGTCTGACACAAATGCAGCAATTTTTTTAATTCATTTTTGAGAATAATTCCATCTGTCTTTAATTTTTCTTTAATACTCTTAAAATATGGATCTGAAAATAAAACACATTATAGCAGCAGTCTATAGACAATTCCATTACCTGTGTTGCATACTTGGAACCTGAAGCATAGAGATACAATGAAGCAGAAAGCTTGTTTTTTTCACTAAGAAAAAAAGGCATAAATCTTCTCATAGACAAGCATGCTTAGGTATACCCACGAAGTCATGTCAGACTTGGAAAACCAAGAAAATGCCTATTGTGAACTTAACTTCACTGTGTGTGTTATGGAATATATCAGGTAATACAGAGGTTTTAAAGAGTAAGTTTTGTAAGTGACATTTTCTGCATTATGTTCTTTTTTTAAAAAGCAAGCAAACCAACAAAAACAATCCCACTCAGCATTCAAACAAGCATAAGAACTTCTACTCAACACTGTTACAGAGTCACAGAGTCACAGAATCGCTCGGTTGAAAAAGACCTCTGAGATCATCATGTCCAACCGTTCCTGTCTACCCACTA